CATGAATTTTTGGTGGTGATAAGAACACTTTACAATAACAATAAGTACCACTACTTGCTAATGATAACTACTGATAGTAATGGCTATTAATACTTAATAGAAATAAGTCACAATGATAATCGATAATAATAATTACTAAACATCTTATTGATTACAGTATCTATTCATACTAACTGTTGATGACTAGTATTCTTCCCATGTGATTGTATCGGTTGTTTTTAGTACTACTTATTCTTACTGATTGTTATCATCCTTATTCTTTTTTGGCTTGGAGTCATTAATATTTCTGTACTCTCAAGATTAATAAGTCATTATGGATAGTAATAATTCCTGTGACAAAGAAGTAGCGTGCCCCAAACACATGGGTCACATCAGCCGGCAACTAATATATAGTATCATGTTAAAAAGAAGTTAGAGGAACATGCTGGTAAACTAACATATATAGGTACATATATAAAGAAGGTAGAGAACAGTATTGAATATATATAGACGTATAGAGGAAAGGCTAGGGACAAATGCTGGGAAACTAGTATATACATATAAACAGGAAAAGTTAGAGGCAAAGGGTAGGTAACTAACATATAAATGTTTGTAAACGAAGCTAGACACAATGTCTGAGAAACTCGTAACTACGTAAAAATGATATTTGAATATTATGTTGTGATACTTCAAAATCCAAAAACCCAAGATTTTCAGAGAGATACCAGACTGAGTTTTGGACTTTTGGACTTTTGGATTTTTGGATTTTGGTCAGTACAAATTAGTACTGCATATTTAGTACAATATAAATGTATGCCTGTCTATATATATTCTTTATAAAAATATAAAGGCACTAATACACGTGTGTACTATATTAAATAGATAGTACTAGGTTATACTGGCCAAAATCTAAAAATCCAAGAATCCAAAAGTCCAAAACTCAGTCTGGCATCTCTCTGAAAATCTTGGATTTTTGGATTTTTGGTATTTTCAATCCTAAAATCATAAAGGAAAAATACATGAACATATGTAAAAATACATGTTTTCCATAGGTTTTACAGGTTTTTCAGTGCAAAACATCGAAAAATGGAGGTTTGTATAGTGAACAAGCATATAGATTTAATATACACATAGTAAAAATAACTGAGGAAATTTGCATAGTTTTTACAATGAAATGTTGTGTGAATAGAGATCAGTGCGTGTCATGGAGGGGGGGGGAGTGACCATATATATATATATATATAAAGATATATAGTTTAGAAGTGCTTAGCGACCCTTGATTAGGTATATCGTGACATATCGGGATCCTTGAAGGGGCTACAGGAGTTTTCGGCAGGTATAGGGACGGTTTAGGGTTTGTAGGGCTTTGGGCCCTAAGCCCTATACCTTAAACCCTGAATTTTCGCTCAAAAATTTCTGAAGTGAGGTTTCCCTGGGTACACCTGAAAAGGATACTTGAGGAGAAAAGTGAAATATAAGGGCGTTCGAATGGAGCTTCAGGAGTTAATAGGGATATATATATATATGAAGTTACATATATATGAATATGTGTAGGGCTTAGGGTTTGAAGCTTAGGGCTTAGTGTTGGTCTTGAGGCTTTGAGGATCCAGGTTTTAGATTCCAGGGGTTTAGGGTTGGGGGCAGAGCGTCAAGGCTAGAAGCCTTGAGGGTTTAGGGTTTAGGGGCTCAGGGTTTAGGGTCTAGGGCCATGAATCCGAAACCATCAAGCGCCAGATCCCTCGGAACGCAGGCGCTAAAGTTTCGCAACTGTTTGGGTTCAAGGAATACACTAAAGCCCTAAACCTTTAATGCGGCACCCCTGAACCCTAAAGACCTCTGAACTATCAATCCTGCACCTTAAACCCAAATAAGGGACGAAATTAAACACCAAAATCGCACGTCCTTAGCCAAACGCCCCATGTATATATAGCTATATATGTGGGACTTTCTCAAAACAGGGGTACCCTAAAGAATCCAAAAAGTAGGTAGGGATTGAAGGCAGATCATGAGCGGCCCCTTATTCCGGGACAGTTGTTAGAAATACCACTATACCTCATATGCCCCTATCTGCCCCTTAACCTATAGCTTCCCAGAAGGTCCAATATGCCTCTATTAGGGAACATGCTCTAAATTATACTAGGATCCCTAATATGGTTTAAATTATATTGACAATCCAGGGATATTGGGCCTAGACCCTAATCCTTAAACCCTATATTCCCTTTCTAGCTTTGTAAGGTTTTACCCAGAAGCAGTGTAGTTGGCCCAATCACCCCACGCAGACCCTGTGAGGCCATCCTGCGCACTCACCCGACGGTCTGAGATTTCTCAGGGTTTAGAGTTTGGGGTCTTAGGTTTTTAGGCTTTGGGCTGTGGGAGTTATAAGGCTTTTCCATGCTGAATGAAGGATCCTCCTAGGCTCCTATTGTGAATTACCTTGACAAATTCCTGAAACAGGAACCTGAGCGCAAGCTCTGCCAGGACCCTCCTACACCCTAAAGCCCAAGATACTATAGTAGTTTCCATTTTCTTTCCAGTATCCCAATATAACCCCAATTCACTATAGTAGTTTCCATTTTCTTTTCCACTATCCAAAAGTATGGCTTCTTGTAATGGGTACTTAGGCATACATAGAGCATAGTTGGAGGACACAGGTGCTAAACATTCTGCATCGCAAGGCACGTGACAAGAATCAAGTAGCATACATTAGGTGGACCCCCCACCCAGTAATAGTGACTATAAGGAATAATGAGAATTATACTAGGGTCCCTTATATGCCTACTATACCCACTATTACAGGGTGGGGGGTCCTCCTAAAGTATACAAAGCTTTCATGCGGCACGGGGCCTGGAAAAACATCCCGATGATGGCCATCATCGCAAGTCTTCCGTTAGCAAGCTCCGCTGAAAGCTTTTTCGTCTTCTCAGCAGGGTCGCTGGAGGTCA